TTATAATAGCAGTTGTTCACCTCAGAGCTAGCTGAGTTTTTCCACTGAGGTCCTATGTGGACTGTTGGAATCCCTATTGAATAGGTGCTGTGTAAAGGCCAAAAATATCCCATGAGGATATACTCAGTGTGAGTAATAACATCATCATCTTGTCCTTGTATGCTTTGTACCTGGATTTTCTTTATTTAGAAGATCTCATTTTTCTCTTCTATATACCACATCAATCATCATAGTGATTTGACAGTTATGTGTTTTATAATACAACATTCCCCAATATTTTATATTTGTGGCGTGTGCGTGTGTGCGTGTGTGTGTGCGCGCGCGCACACGTGCGTGTGCACATAGATGCTTTTTCACTTGGTTTAAGCATTGAGACCAGTAGGAAGAAGGAAGGCTCAAGTGGCAGTGACATTCAGGCTTCTTTCATGGTATTTTGGAAAGCCCAAAGAGAGACCTATAATAGGTTCTGTTGTGCCACTAAAGTACTGAAAATTCTCTTGCCAAGTTCAACCTTTAGAGCCCCTCTTTTCAACAGATTAATGCAAGATTCGAAGCTTTAGGAGAGAGCAGGCAGGAGAGCTACAATAACTACAATTCACTCTATTTCTCTCTTATAAACCTCTATGTTTCATAGTGCAGTCTTAAGATATCTTTGCTTCTCCCTTTGATCATGCCTTTATCTATCTCCAAAGTCTCGTAAGCCCCTTCATGCACTTCTGCTAGCTGTCATTTCTCCTAGAGACCTCAGAGATGTTGAGAATGTACAAATATATATCTTGGGACTGGAAAGCAGTGCCAAGTGGTCCATAGCACTCTGTCACGGGCTATTTTACAACTCTAACTCTGTTAGAGTTCCTTGATTCAGAAATGTAATATTCAGACGGCATTTATTGATCACTATGGTTTGCCTAGTGCTCTGTTCCTTGCTGTAGATATGAAGATAAATTGCCTTAGCATTCGGTGAACTCAGAATCTGGTGGAGGGTTGGCGGCGAAGGGAGGTCAACAATTATAGCATGTGTGGTAAGTGAAGGGAGCACAGGAGCACCTAAGAGGTGCACCAGATTGAGCACGTCCCTGGGATACTGGAATGGAGGCACTAGATATGGGATGTTGGAGATAGTTTCTCCAGAGAAGATGACACCTGAGCCAAGTCTCGAAAAATAGGCAGGGTGTTACCATTTGTGTTGAATGTGACACAATGCGGTACATGGTGGTGTGTGTTTCAGGTAGCACGGGCAAAGGCTTAAAGACTTTGTCCCTTAAGAAGCAGCCAACTTTTAGAATTTGCCTTCTCTGTAGCTGATCATTAGGGCATTCCCAAAAAAGATACCTGAAAGAAGAAATATTTTATAGCCACAGTTAAGAAGCACTTAGCAGAAAATATGGGCATAAAGTATGTTTTATGTAAAGCAAAATCTTACATAAGTGCTCTGTTGCCTCAGGTGAATGAAATGTTGACATCAAATGCAAAAATCATGGTATGAAAAAGAGAGCTTATTATTTGAGATGAAGTTTATTGTGATAACATGAAGCTTATTGTAATGATAACATGGGAATCTGTTATCATTTAACCAGAGTTGTCTTGTACTGAAGAATTTAGGCCCAGGATTTCACACAGATATCTAAAGAATTAAATTGAGATCATCACGAAGCAAATAATAGAAAGTAGGCCCTGAGTTATTTAAAAGCAAAATGGTGAATTCATAGGTCTTGCATGAAGCTTTTAAGCTATGAAGGGGAAAAAAAGAGAAAAGCTGGAGAAGCCGGTGGAACAAAGAGATTTGGCTATTCACTAAGGTTATGATCAAGTTCGCAAATAAGGGCATATTGAAATCAGGAGCCCTCGGGAAGAGTCAAAGCATTTTTAACAGTACATTTTATATCTATTCCTCTGTCTCTTCTGACATTTCTTTGTGGGGAAATAAAGAAGCAAAATGATAAGGATGAACAAGACCCCACTAACCCTAGATTTTTGCATGTAGATTCGACCCCTCCTAGTTTATTGTACTGTCACAGCATTTCATTTGACTCCTACGGAGATCAAGTAAGGAAGACAAGGCAGTTGAAGAGAAAACGATAGCACAAAGCATTGAAGGGGTCAAATGCCTATTATATGGCAGAGTTAGGATGAAAAAGTAGGTCTCTGAACTTCTAATATAGTGTTCTTTGCTTCCACACTACACTGCGTCTCTTCTTTTGGATTTATTTTTAAACGCTAAAAACTCAGCAATTGTTCCTCCTTTGTGAATCATTAATCTATGCAGCTGCCATACCACATTGTAAGGCTCAGCCCGGCATGGTTAGAATAGAGCACTAAAGTGGGAGTTTATCATATTTTGGCTTCATTGCTAACCTATTGTTGAATATTGAAATTGTGACATTCTTTAATCTTCCTGCATTTCATTTTCTCTTTTTCCTTGGTCTGTGTTATGTCTTGGAGCTAAATGTGAATGGAGTCATCTAGCTACATTGTTCTCACTGCAAGAATACACTTGGTACCAGTTTTCTAGGCCAACCATATGGGTCGCCCCCAAATATGTACTGTGGTTTCATTAGTTTTGTGGGTCTCGGGAATTGTATTTAGGTCATTTTCCATGTAATTACATGTCCAACTTCACATAGGGACTTAAGATCTCCTAAAGAATTCCTGGTAGATTGCAGAAATGTTAAGTATAAGTTGTATAAACAGTACTACCTAACATTTATTGAGTACTTGCTGAGTGCTGGGCATTTGCATCTATCTCATCGAAGCCTCAGCATAACCCTGTGAGGTGAGGCAGATGGGGAGGCACAGGAACCTTGCACAGCTAGTGTGGAGCAAAGTAAGACTTTACACAAAGGTCCTTTGGCTCCAGCCCACACTCTGGACTGCTTATACTACACTCTTTATAGAAACTGGTCTATAAAGGGTCTCTATTGGTAGGGCACAGTTAATTCTGTCAGTTGGAATTCACGATTCCTGAAACGAAGTTGGTCGTTCATTAAAATCCAAGTGGCTGCTTTCACACTAGCTGTAGATCTTGCTCAAATAATGAGAACAAAGTAAGCACTTACTGCAGAAAATGTTCTTCAGAGGCCCACAGATTGTTCACTTTGTTCGTGGTCAGACCTGGAATATTCATTTTGACATGCCTTATTTCAGCTATATTAAATGTAAGGAGACCTGACAAATGTAAAAGTTTGAATATACATCATTAATTTCAGCTCTTTAATTAAGATTTTGTGGCACATATAAACTTCATTTGAAATCTGGGAGGGAAAATAGATCATTAAAAATGAAGTGAATTGAGGTTTTATTTCTACAGCTATAAATTTTCTTATACAGTAAGATCCAGAAGCACATAACTGTTTTTAAAGGTATAATGTCTATCTACTTTATATGTAGTTAGTACTAGTTTTGACTAAATTAAAGAGAGTTTGTCTTTTTTTAAAATTCATCCAAGGTTCCCGATAGACTTCCCTTTTCCATCCCATTTATTTATTAAAAAAAAAAAAAAATACCTTTTATACCATGCACTGGGTTAAGTACACTAAAACCTTTTAATTACTGATGTGTTGGTAAGTTGGCAGGTTCATAAGGAGTTCAATCTTCTTAATTAAACCCAGTTATCTGAAATTCCTTGCCTCTGATCATAAATTAGGTCTGACAGCAGTTTTGAGACAGATATAAACCAGCTGCACATTCTAGTAGGATAAACATTGAAATGGCTAGAGATGATGATATCATATGTGGTGCTATTAGATCCAAAAAAAGAAGCAATAGAAGCATTTTGCCATTTTTGATAAAAGATCTAGAATATGGTAGGTTAGCCTTCAGCCTCGAGGAAAATATTAATTGGGATTCCTGGTGCTTGATACTTAGAAAGGAGCTTAATCATAATCAGAGGAAATGATCTGAAAATCAGATCGTCAGAGCTAATATTTCAACTATGCTCCATAGATGTGCCTCAGAGGCCACCTGGGGGAGTGGGGTTGGGGGCAGGGTGTTAATGGATGAAAACCTGCTTTCCACACTTAATCCCTCTTTTATTTTATGTTTGAAGAAAGGATACTATGACTAAAGGAAATTTTGAAAAAAATGTGGATTTAGGCCAGTTCACACACTTTACCAATGAGCAAACTGAGGCTCAAACAAATTCTAGGAAAAGCAAATAGCTATATAAGAAAGTGAATATAATCACAGCTTACTACACTGCCTGGCCCAGCAGTGAACAGTTTTACATAGTCATTTCGTCATTGTGACGTGAATTCTGACTGTAGAGTTACCTACAAGTTGTGACCTAGCTATACTGGGAGAACTGAAGATGGTGGAGGATGGAGGTTTGTGAGTGAGTTAAGTCTTCATATGGCCCGATAAAAAGTTAGTAGATAATGTCCAAATTGATTAATTAAGAAAAAAACCAGCATGGCCAACATATTTTTAAATGCAGAGGTAAAAAGAAAATGTATGGAAGTACAAAAGAAAATGCTAAAAAAAATTGCAGTCGATTCCTCCCGAGAGCAGGTCTAAGGGTACGGAAGGGAGGTAAAAACTGCTGTTTTCTGGGTACATATTAATTTTTTACCAAATAAAATAAATTTTTAAAAGGGATATTCTGCGTTTGCATTACATGTATGCTTCCTACTCTTGGTAAATAATAGCTCATGTTTGTCAAGGAGACCATTCCCTAGAAGAGAAGAATAAGCGGGATACTAGAAGTGAAACGTCTCATTCCATGACAGAAGGAATGAAGCTTGAGAGGTCAAATTGGTGGCAGGGTGTTTCCCAACTAAATCTCTGATACCTTTGGCTATTCATTCGGTATTCTCCCTAAATTATTTTAGGGACCGAAGCTGCATTCCAAAAGGAAGTAAAAGCACAACTGTGCAAAGATTTTGAAAGAGCCTATACCTAGGAGACAATTTCTCTTATAGTTCCTGTTTCCCCCTTAGTTATAGCAATTCTAAATAAAAATTGGTACCTAACTACTCCTTGTGATGTTTCTTTTTTTAAAACAGAAAAATGCACATAAAATAATGGAGAAGTGCACATTACCATTAACTGGAAAGCAGTGTGTCGACCGCATCATTACTGAAAAGGTAAAGTGCCTTCTCTTTTTATTTCCTCTAATGTCTACAACCACCTATTTTACTTAGAAGCATTTCTAGAATTTTTTTTGTTACCTTCTGAAAGTGTGTTGCATTGTAGTCATAGGACTAATTTAATCTGTGGGTAGACCGAATAGGAAGATTCATCAATTTAATGTCTCAAAATGTAGAAGTCTTAATACACAACTCTGGAAATATACATATATACACAAAACTGAACTACTGTCCTTGGTAATTTTGACAGTGTGATATAGTCAAAGAAAAGTTTTATTGATCCTTATGCTTGGACTATTAAGATGAATGATATATATAAAATTAAGAATATATTTATTATTTCTACCTTTCTTCTTTGCTTTCCGAAATCACAAGTACAAATTTTTGTATTTCATTTTAGAAAACTAACGATAATTGGGTTTTAATCATTTGGGTGCAAATTATAGTACAGGTCTCATAGTGAATCCAGAAATCTATTCAATGGTTCTTGCATGCTTTCAGCCCTCTTATAAAGTGGACTTCAGACTGCATCAGCCACTTTAGTGCCTCTCTACATTTCTTCTCTGATAGGAAATGTTGGCCAGTGGTACAACTGAAAGCTGTTCAGGTCAGAGAAGCATCACTGGCAGTTGCCTCCAGACTCCCTTCTGACCCAGATTTGAACCTTGGGTGCTAGAATGACAAAATTCTCCTAAGTGATCTAGGAAGGTTTTATATTCTTGATTCAGTATCTCGATGAAACCACGAAACAAAATTATCTATATCAGGGTATGTTTGTTTGTTTGTTTGTTTTCTGTTAACGATGCTGTTCCTTTTGCCAGGAGCTGCAGTAGTGTTGTCTTTGCATGAATCTGGTTCTCTAACCCTCGTTAAGGTGGTAACAAGCACCCGAAAGCAGCCCTTTGACATAGGTTAGGAGGTTCATAGTGCTTTGCAGAAGCCACGTTTTAAGGAGCATTCTCTTGTTCTAAATGGTGCCTTTTCCTGTTTATGTGGAATTTAATAAAGATGACTTATAGAGAAGAACAAGCAAATAAAAGGGCAGAATATTTTATCTCATCATTTATTCCTCGAGTCTTCACCACTTCTGGCACCCCACCAAAACTATGGACAGGACTTGTTGAAAGGGATCCGTTACAGTTGACCCTTGAACAACACGGGTTTGAACTACGTGGGTCCATTTATATGCAGATTTTTTTTCAATGTACAGTAAAGGTATTTTCTCTTCCTTATGATTTTCTTAATAACATTTTCTTTTCTTTAACTGACTTTATTGTTAAGAATACACTATATAATACATGTGACATACAAAGTATGTGTTAATCAGCTGTTTATGTTAGCTGTAAGCTTCCGGTCAATAATAGGCTATCTCAGTAAAGTTTTGGGGAGTCAAAAGTTACATTTATATTTTCAATTGCATGGGGGTCAGTGCCTTTAATCTCCCATGTTGTTCAAGGGTCAACTGGACTTTGAAAATAAAGGCTAAGCAGTCCTTGATCCTGTTTTCTTTAATAATGTGGTAGAGCTTGTAAGGATAATGCCAGCAACATTGTCCCCCCATCTCCTCTTCTCCCAAGTATGCCCTCTTCCCACTCCCTATTTCCATGTGTATGTGCCCTGCTCTTGTTCTCACCAGTACAGTGCTTTTGCCTGCTGTACCTCCCACTGCACTCTGCCTCCCCAAATCCCACCCATCCTTTAAGACAAATGCAATTTCCACCTTCATCATGAAGAGGTTTCTGACCATTTTAGCACTCATGATTTCATCCCTGGTGATCCACCATTCATTTTGGCCTTTATCATCTAATACCAACATTTTCTTACGACAAAATTTATTTGTTATTTAACTTTAATTCCATTTTTAAAAATCTTCATACCCTTTCTCTCCATCCACATTGTTTTAGTTGTTCATTCATTACTAAGCATTTTTGTGAGCATCTTCTCTGAACCAGACTATTCCTAACAGTAGGCTACAGAAAGGCGGAGGACAGTCTCTGCCCCCAGGGAGCATATTCAGGAGGGGCAGACGTCAAAGGCCGTGATGGAATACCTGCCAGGTGATGAGTTAGGAACATAGAGAAAGACTGCTTAACAGCCTGCGAAGTGTCGAAGGAAGCTTCTAGATGGTATCGAATATAAACTTTTAACGTGTTTTGTAAGGCATTTCAGAGTTGGTACCGTTTCTCCTCCAGTTTCAGTGTCTTACTTTCTTAACATTCTCCCCGCTTCAGCCATGCTAAAATGCTGTGAACTACGTTGCAGTCCCCCTACCACGTTTCTTTGGGAACTTTCTACAACCTGTCCTTCTCCTTGGAATGTTCTTCCCACCACCATCCATCTGGCTAATTCCTGCTCATCTTTTATGTCTCAGCTATATGTTTCTTTCTCTGGAAACTCTTTTCTATCCCTCCCCAAGTCTTCCGGGTGCTTCTCTGAATGCAAGTGCTTGCCCTGCTTTAGCAATGACCACTGTATTGACATAACCTCTAAGCTCTGACTATCTCACTCATCACTGTTTATTCGACACTCAGCATGGTGCTCGCCCATACACAGGGAATATGCTTGTACTATATTTTTCTTGATGTGAAAACTGATAGATTGAGCGATGACTCTTGAAAGTTAAGTAGGAGTTTTATAAGTGAGACTAAGACCAAAGAAGCCTTTCTAGGCTTAGGGAAGGAAATAGGCAGAGTCATGGAGGTATTAAGAAAACACAGGCTAGATGAGGACGTGAAAGTGGAACAGTGTGGATTGAAGGCATGGTCAGATTCAAGGCTAAAGTAGAAAAGATAGTGAGGGGCCAAGTTATGAAGGAATGTGAATGCCTTGTTAAGAAATTTGGGTTTTATCTGGAAGGCAATTGGGAGCCTTTTGATGATTTTCAGTAGCTGGGGACATAATTGATTAGATTTGGATTTTACAAGGAGCATTGTAGCTTTTATATAGGGTAGGGAGAGAATAGATGAGACAGAATCCAGTTAGACGTCCCATTCAGTGATCTGGGTCAGAAATGTCAAGGTCCTAAACCATGGAACAGAAAGAGATATGAAAGAGATTTAGGAGATAAACTCAACCTAACTCAATGATGAATTAGACATGGATGCTAAAGCAGAGGTGACTTCTAAATTTTCTGGCTAGAGGAGATGATCGACCTGTTGTATCTTCAGTGAAGTCCAGGACTGTAGGAAGAGAAAGGGTGGAGACAGGGAAAAAACAGGTTTGCGTTTAGACATTCTCAATTTGATATTCCTGAATAACTTAACATCCAGACACATATTTCTCATAAACAATTGGAGATGTGGATCTAGAGCTCAGAAGAGAAATCACTATTGGAACAGACTTGTAGAAGTCATTAGCATATGGGGATAATTGGAACCTTAACTATAGATGACATTGTATAGCAAAAATGAGTTAAGTGAAAGGCAGCTAAGAATGGAACTTTGGGTACCTCAAGGAAAAGAGTGGTGCATGTTTACCCCTATACTCTGTACTAGTTGGCACTCAATAAATATCTGTTTAATGAGTGAATGAGAAGGCAGTGCCATTAAAGGCAGTGAATGTGTACAGTTTTGCCAAAGCAGATAAGGGAATAGAATTCCATTTTCAACTCTTAAGGAAAATTCCATTAGTTTGCCATTTGAAAGAGGCTTTGGAGCTGCTTTGACCCTGATTTCCTAGTTTCATGATGCTAGAATGAGGTTATGAAAGTTGCCTTCCCCAGCAACACCTAGGCTATGATTAACTGCTTTATCTATAATGTAGCATTTTATGGTGGTGATGGAATAATTAACTTATTCATCTGTAAAACAAATAAAGTAGTTGCAATATTATTCTTGGTAGTCAAATGATTGTAGCTTTCAGGTTTTAGCCTTCATTATGATCAGGTTTTTGTTTATACCACTAGATGAGAATCTTCCTAAATGCTCCAAAAGAAAATTTTACACTTTTTAATAGTTGATGCTTGGCTTTACAGTATATGACCTTGAGAGCTAATTAGGGTTTGATAAAGGTATTAATAAAAGTTTTTTTTTTTAAAGCAATAAGTCAATTTGCCATAAATGTTATCTCCCTGGTCTCTGAAGTCTTATATTCTTGATACCACAGTTGTCTTCTCCCCTGCCTGTTCTTGATAACACAATTTAGAGGCTTTATTTCTTTGATTTGTTCCATTTTGATAAATTTACAGTTGTTCATAATGTAGAGAAGAGATAATCAGTATGAATAGTGTTCCAGTCACATTTTCTGTAGAGGAAAAGAATGCACTTTAAAAGTTTTTTGTCATTTTGAAATTAAATAACCTAATGCAGCATGTAGACATTCCTAAATGACCATTTATTTCCCCTCTCAAAACACATATTTCTGCTGGAAGAAAAAGGTTTTTTTAGAAACATGAAAATGTGTTATCTATGAATTCATCAAACAAGAATGCAAGTATCACTGGTTCCCTTGATGTCTTGCTTCTGGAGAGAAATATCAATTAACTGGAGACAAATAAACATTTTGGTGTTTTGATTTGGGTTCACACACAAGTGACAATAAGCTAAGCTATTAAGGGGAAAGAATATTCCTATACGATGCCCCCGCCATGTCCCAGGCATGATGCCAGGTTCTCAGACTATGTTTGTGACTTTATTTGTCCTGTGTAACAATCTTGGGAAGCAAAGGTGTGTTTTTTTGGTTGTTTGTTTGTTTGTTTGTTTGTTTTGATATTCATCTGCAGATGCAGGGATAGGATCATGAAAGATTGCATTGCTAGTGTGCTGCAGAGCTGGAATTCCAGTCCAGCTTGACAGCCAAGGTTCTTTCCTTTACATCTCACGGTCTTCATATTAGCCTCCTCCTAACCAGGAGAGTGTTTAAAAATGACAGTTTAGGGTTTGATTTCCAAGCTAGCTGAAAATAAAGATCCTAAGCCTGCAAATAATGGTTGAATTTAAGGTAAATCCTCAGGAGAAGAGAGATCCGGGCAGCATATGTAAGTCTGAAAACCGAGAGGGGAAACAGTGCCTGTTGCACTAAGGACAACTTGTAGAACCTTCAAGTTAAAGTCATAGGGAAGCAGTTTTGACTCTTATGGTAAGACCATCCCATCAATAGACAATCTGCCTCGAGATGAGGGAGCCTCCTGCCTCAGGAAGTGTCTAAGCAGAGCCCCAGTGGCCATTTCAGAAAAATGTTTTGAAGAATTCTTGAGTGGGAAGTTATATTAAGTGGCTTTACTTCTCTTCTACTCAAGTTGTCATGTAATTAAGTGTGACAGCATGTGTTCTAAACCAGATACAACAGCTTGAGTCTACCTGCAGAGGTCAAGCTGCACCAGTGGCACTACCATCACCTTGTGTTACTGACCAGTATGTTATAATGGAATGTTCAGGGCGAGGTTAGCCTTCTCATGCTTGTCTTAAACATAAGCGTCCTCATTTGATTTATATTCCAGAGGGAGGTTCTTATGCTCTCGGACCTATGTGTTTTCATAGGACTTACAGGGAAAGTTTTAATATTTACCTGGGCGGGGCTATGGGGCGGGGCGGGGGGGGTTGGTCTTTCAGGGTCAGGACAGCTACCCTTTGTAATTACTCCTAGCTACTGCATAGTGCCTTCTCTTGTTTCCTGTAACTCTTTACCCAGCAACATTTGCCCTATCATCCCTGTGCCTTCATCTTTCAAATATCTTCTCTCTCCTTGTTTTTCTTCATTCTTTTCTTTCTTCAGATCATTATTAATCATCTAATTGAAATTGTAACCAAAAGTCTTAGACTTAACAAAAGTAAAGTAGTTTAAAAAACACTGGTTATAACAGTAGCGGATGCCGTCAGCAGTCAGCACCCCTTTATTTTCTGGCGTCAGTAGTGCTCCACAACTAATTGCCAGTTGGGGAGTTGACATTTATTCTCACATCTTTTCATAGCTGGTTTTCAGGTTTTTGTCCTGGGTCTTGTCTCTCCTTTGAGAACTTGATAGCTTGTTCCTGTTTTGTGCTATAAAATAAATATTGTGATGGCGATTGTCATTGTCATGTTCTTAACCCCGACAGGCTGTGTTTGACGTGGACAGCAAGAAAGGGCTGACTCTGATCGAACTCTGGGAAGGCCTGACAGTGGATGACATAAAAAAGTGCACTGGGTGTGATTTTGCAGTAAGTGTTTCTGTGAACAAATCCAGCCACTTATCCTATACCATGAGCTTGATTAATGGGTATTTACAGGACATGAACCATTAATTTGTGATCATTTTTGGAGTTGACCTTTGCAGAGAATGGGAGTGAAAGGAAAGGGGGGCCTCCAGATGAGAGCAGGTGGGAGCAGGGGCAGGCTCTGACTCATGGACCAGGGCTTGGCTCAGGAGCCAGAAACAGGAAGGGGAGGAACCACCAGGAGCTGTTGGAAACAGAAGGTCAAGCTTGAACTCTAAGTTACTGTCTGTAAAGTTCCTTGCAATCCTCTGTTCTTGGGTTACATATCAGCTGGAACTAAACTTGATTAACTGAAAAATGTGAGCTACACACAGAAAATTGATAATTCCTTTTTTTAAAATCCTTCTATGACTTGTGAGTTTTTTTTCAATGAACTTCCATGCCTGATTATTCCACTCATTAAAGATATTAGGATGTTAGACTTCTGACAACACCAGATTGTAATCACAAAATAAGTATATACTGCATTTGAAGGAAAGGTTAGTGCATGAGAACTCTGACTTACAGAGTAGTAAAGCACATCAGGGAAGTATCATTTAAGAAATATCCAGTCCCTTTTTAAAACAAAGAGAATGATACTGTGATATAAATAATTGCCCTTTATAATAAGTGCTTGTTTATAAATTACCAATCACCTACCTAATGGGGGTTGAGAAGATGGCCTAGTCCATTTGAAGTTAATCAAAACTGAGGGTGAAACATCTCTTAAAAAAATGAATGAAAAGAATTTGTTTCTCACATACCTTTTTGTAAACAGATCTACTCGTTAAAATGAAATATATTCATAATGAAATGTTGCAGCTACCCATCCTAGAGAAGTAATTTAACAAAACTTATTTGATAAATTATGCATATATTTCATACATTTCTTCCTAGGTACTACATGCTTGGCTGGTACCTATCAGAGCATAACAAATTTATGTAAAAACAATTTTGCTGCGTAATTAATTATTCACATATAAGCATTTCTGGTACTGTATGAAGGTTTTTATCTATTAACTTTTTCTGAATTTCCCTTGGAGAAAAGAAGTCTGCCAGCAATACCTTGCATAAAAGGCACGTCTTCAATTACCTTTTCAATAACCTCAGGGGGTAAAAATGGGATTTGTCTATACTTTACTTAGAATTTCTTACTCCAGTGATAAAAGCAAACGATTCATACTTAATCAACTTTTCTTCATATTTTTTCCCTATGTGGATGAATTAACCTCTTCTTCTGCAGGTAGCATCTTTGAGATCCACAGAACGTTCAGTTCTCTGCTGCAGAACAGAATATACAAAGGAAGGTCCTCATGAACTGTTTCTTTTTTAATCATGTAGATAAATCAGGAATGAAAAAGATAGATATTTAATATTTACTGTTCCGCTTTCTTATTTTTTTTTTTTAAGTGCTACTTTCCATGTCTTGATACATTGAAAAATATCTTTCTGGTCCTTCTTTTATTACAGTACTATTCCTGTGTAATCTGTTTCCTCCAGATTAGGCTCTAGGAGTGAAATGTTCATTTGTATGTCCATGTTGTCCTGAAAATGAAAAAGTGTAGTATCAGCTGAACCACCTTGACAAAAGAACTAGCTTTTCAGGATCTGATGATCAATGGCATCTCTTTAGACCTCGACAGATGAAATCACACCTGGTGGATTGTTTCTCTATAAGGCTAGGGACTGGAGTGCTCTGATTGATAAAATTTTCTGCCTAATAGCTGGGTTACATTTAACAATAAAATTATGTTGAGGATAACATTTTTTTTATTTAATAATTCAGAAGGTATTCTGTGTTATAATTCACAAGCTACTCCATGTGAGTATTACTGTATAGGTAGTTCATGACTGTATAATCCTCCATATGTGACTATATACAGGTTACTCAAAATTTCTGTTTGAGAAAAAGCCCACTCAGCCTCTACTATATAACTGGAAGTGAGCAGTCTATAAGGAAATAGCCAGATTGTTGCATAATAAAGAAAACAAGGTAAAAACCTAGGTGAAAGGAATTGTGAAGATGTGTTGGTAAACGTCCCATGTAGCTAAGAATATGGGTAAGTGAATGGGCAATAATACAGAATATGGTTATAAGCTGATTAAGAAAATACTGAGAATTTCAAAGAAAAACACAAAATATTCAACATCAGATAAAAGGACATGACAAAATTGTGGTTACAGGGTATTAAAAAATAATGGTTATAATAAAATATTTGGGCATTAAAAAAGGAATTATTGAGACTTTCCTGTATACCACAGTGCAGTTAGCAACAACAATAAAAAATGTGGAAATTGTTTCTTATGTATCAGCTGAAACAGCTTCTTAAAAAAGTTATAATAACCAAAAGAATGTATGAGTTATACTCATAATTTTATGTCAGTTAAAAGTTTTGTTTTCAGTTGGTAAGAAAGTCTTGTAAAGATTGCGTGCGTGTGTGTGTGCGTGTGTGTGTATCTGAAACTCCAAAGGAGGCTATAGAAGTTTTGTCGTAGAAATGCAAGTATTGACTATTTTTCTGGAACCTTCACCACCACATTCCTCAAATAAGATTCTGGTCAAGAATAGTTCGCAGCAAGAGAAGCCAACCCATAATGGACAGAGACCTGGTTCCATACGATCACTCTCCTTCAGAATATAATTGTTTACAAAGAAAGGGACTTTCAGTTGTTTCTTGGGAATTGAGTTCTGACTCTCCTGAGAGAGAAAAAGGAGCTGGGCAGGTAGAGGTAAAACTATTACTGTTATTATAAATGCTAGTGTGGTGGATGTGGCTCAAGTGTACAGCCACAACTGGCTTTTCAGGTAGGAACTCCAGAGGCGGGAGGGACTTTAGCTCCCAGTTACAGGAAACCCTGGAAGACCATAGGCCTTTCACACAGGGGCGAGCCTTTACTTCTGAGCTTCTTTCCACGTGGCTAAGAGCAAAACAGGGTATGTGCTCCCCACAGAAGGCTATGAAATGTGAATAAAATAGAACAAATTGGTACAGTTCCTCCTCCCAAGGGTCTCGGTCTTATTCTCCAAGCAGAAATACACCTAAACCATCAGTAGCAAAAAATTAAATAAGAATACTGCTTATTATATGTTTGCAATGGAATCTGAAAGAAGCCAGCTGCAGACATTCTTTGCCAAGTTCAATAAATTTGTATTCCCAATATCTATTATGAAATGGCATTATACCAGAATTAAACAGTATACTCTCGGGCTTTCATTGGACTGGGAAGACAAATCATTGGCTTATCTTTTACACTGAAGTCATATAGACTTGTGCTTAGCCTGTAGATCACCTTGGCAGGATAATCTGCTTCAGCTTGCAGGGTTTTCAATGTTGATGAGACTGTGCGGGAACAGAATGAAAAATGGTGGTTTAGTAGATGTTTTTCTTTACAAAAATAGAGATGCCAAGTCAGTCTATAGAAAGCTTCATCTTCTATTAAAAGTCAGTTTCCACGTTAAGGATATAAATGATATTAAGAGCTCAAAATAAGGCAAACATGACAAGGAAAAGGATAAATGTTTACGAAATTAAGGTGTCCATTTTCCTTTTAAAGGAAATTCTATAAAGAATCTATTAAAATTTTGTTTTCAAAAAAGAAAACTTTTATTCATTAAATTATTTCTATAGATGTGCTGTTTAAAAAAGGAAAATGGATTGTTAGTGGGATATGCTTTCTCAACACTCAGAGCTCATATGTCTTATTCTTTCCAGTTAAGTTAAAGTTCTGTGCTTCAGAAATGTGAGCTGACTTTTGTCTATTTATTATAAGTTTACTATTTTGTCTATTATTATATATCTTTTCTTGGACCTGGCAAGTCTGAATGAAGTCTCATTTATTCTAACCTGTATACCAAGTCACACCAATCTTTTTTATTTTGGTCATGTCATTCTTTTAGTAGAAAAACAGAAAAGGGGACATTAACTCTTGACATCATGAAGAGTTAATACAGAAACAATTTATAAATAAATATTTATATTTAAATATTTAACCTCATCAAACCCAAATAATTGCCTACTCCTGTTTTTAATACTGACTTAACCCCTGTTAGGAACCTTTCTTCGAGTTCTTTGAAGCTTATCTAATCCACTAATTCATTCATTTGTTCATTCATTAATTTAACAAAATATTCTGGATGGCAAAATGCTAGTTAGGCCCACTTTGATTACCACATCCTTGAGGGGTTCAAAAAGAATCACAAATTTTAATATTCTCTACTGTGCATTCCATGGAGACTGTTACATACTAGGACTGGATATTTGCCAGATTGAATGAAGAAATCTGTACCCGGCATTACACCTTGAAAGATCTGTGAAAATGAAGCCAGACCACTTACATTTAGGTTTCTTCTTCCACCAGCTCTACCATTAAATGTAGACCTGTCCTCATTTTTCTCTGCTTCAGAACTCCTAGAAATGTATTTGCTGTTCTGTACAATGAGCATAAATATAGTCAGTGTTTAACATTTTTAATGCTGTTACCTTCTTTTTGTAACAACTTGGAATCTTTTTGCTGCCTTAATATCATTTCCATTCTGACTATGAAATTTCTGATAAAACTTTGTCATTGACCATACATCTCTTCATTAGCATGTGTCTCGTTAATCCAAAGACTGTATTAAATGTTTCTTAACAAAACTATGAGTTGACTGGACCTATTTTAGGACTTTGAGACATGTTCCTTACTCTGTGTCTCTTTTGCATGAAATCTGAGAGTCATTAATCTCAGAGCTCAGGGATCCATTCAGTAGAGAGCTTGGTTATTTGGATGCTTTATCTCCCCTCTGTTCCTTGATCTAGTCTTAATGATCCTTAATGTAGGAGCTATAATGCAAGATGGTTGAAAACTACTAACTACACAAAATGTAAGCAGAAGAGGAGTTCTCTGTCTTGGTGGTTCAGAACGGAAAATACTGCGGAACGTCTAAGTGATGTTCATGGAAAGGCTGCTTGTTGCCTGTATCATTCAGGCTTGGAAATTGAAAGGAATGGTGTTTATACCATGAGATTTTTTTCATAATTTGGTTATTTTGTTCTCTTTCATTTACCAGGTTTCACCAAAACTCATGCCAATGCAGCAGATCACAATTTGAAATGTGGAACAGACATTTGTCCCAAGCTGTGTGTTTCTCATTTTAACCACATAGGACATCAGTAATCATCAGTAATCATCAGTAATCATAATTGTATTTTTAACAAGCAACTTTTGACTAGTTTTTTTTCTTGCATTTTATTCTGTATGCAGTCATATAGATTTTGTTCTTGCAAGCATGCTGTGACATTTTAATGAAAAACAAAAATAAAACATATATGATTATCTTATTTGTTTTATAAGTGTTGAGAAGTTGCTGCTCATATTGGATTTCTCTCCATCTTCTGTGGTACGTACCTAAATTGTGTGCAGTTTGTATTAAGACGGACCTGTAGGAAGAGTTTCATTGTTGTACTTTACTCATGAATGAAATCTTAACATGTAGAAAAAAAAGAATGAGGGTAGAAAATAACTTCCCCCTGAGTCTACCCAAGGCAACATTGCACTAGTCCTGAAAGATAACATATATGTGAATTTTGATTAGTAGAAATGCTGAGTTAATGATTATTTTTCCTTTGACCTCTGACTTTTCTTTTTGAGTTTCTGATTTTGTGATTACATCTCTTCTCCTCTCACACTTTTGGTAACTAAATAGATGCCCATGAAGGAAAACAGAAACATTTTTATGGGATGTTCCTGTTAACTGGTTTGTGGAAAAGACCAAAGTGTGTAGAGTCTGTTGGTGCTTATATCCTACCAAAAGATTGCCTTTATAAACAAACCAACCAACCATCTGTGCTTTGCCAAAGACTAAGGTTTAGTATAGGAAGAGGGCTGTAACCTAACTGATCTAGTCAGTTTTCTTACTTTGAAACACTGCAGTATCTGTATGTATCCAGAAGGTCCTTAAGGGTCTATATCTGTGTTATTGAAGACCAGTGGGCTATTTGAACAATACTTTCTCTCAAACCGAGAAAGGCTGTGGATAATTTATCATGAATCCATAGTCACAATGACAGCAGAGTTTTTTTTTTTAAATCTTTCTTTTTAGGCGCTCTTATTTCTGCTTAGAAATGTTTCTAAATATTGAATGCCTTTTTCTACAGAACAGTTTTCTTTGTCCCAGCTCCTTCGTTGAACAAAGTACTTTTAATTCAGCTCTATCCAAGTAGAGGAAATAATGATCAAATCCAGGATTTAAAGAGCAGTGAGTGAATTTTCATTGTTAAAAAATAAACTTGGTAGATTAGGTTTTATAAGGAACTTCTCTTCAGAGGTATCCTCAGTACCAAACAGTTGCCCAGGGGGTGACCAAGCATCCTAGGTGTCAAACAAGGGGTGAAAGTCTAGGCATCCTGAAGACAGGCCAGAGAGCTATGCTCTGGACAGAGGGAGGCACATTACAGTACATTATGTCATTCCTCTGGCACTAGTTACAGAAATTTATACATGTTTTTAGGTGATGGTTGTCATTGAAACTCACTTTCTCTTCAAACACAGCTATGGTTGTGTCACATACAGTTTTGGAGGAGAGAGGCTTTTTTTGTGAGATGCACACTTCATATATAAAATAGTCTTTCTGGATGGCTGCATGGTTGAAAAGCATTTTCTCCCATTACTGGTAAAATGGACTCTTAGAATTTTTGAGCCCTAGAGAATAATATATATCTATGTCAGAGTTATGATTTGGAAAAATGGTGTTGTTAGTGGTTGCTATATATGCCAGCTTGCTTGCTCATTACTCCAGTCTGCTACTTTTAGACAATGTGATTCTAAGAATGTTCCCAAAACTTCGAATGGCAAATGACTTTATATTCTTGATTAAAGAGTGACATGGATATTAAAAGCATTAAGAAATAAAATAAATATTTCAGATTGATATACAACAGTGTGATTGTCCTTTTTCTCATTTTCTCATTTGGGAATGGCATGACTACACATGGAGATAATACAACAGAAACTGTAGAATGGCCAACAATTAAAGTCAGCACACTTTTTCACTTCTAATCAAATTGTTGCTTTTCTATTTATCTTACCAAAGAAAAGATATTGTCCTTCATGAAAGAACAAATGAAATTTTTACCCAAATGAAGTTTGCAGTTTTCTCCTTGTCAGAGCCAATCATTTGTCTGTAAAAGTTGATTATCCCAGGCTTCATTGTTAATATATATATTTTTGCTTTTATCTAATATTCCTTTAGAATACACATACATTAATTAGTGCTCTAGTGGCTCTAGTGGTTTGTTGAGTTTGCTTGCATTTTGAACTGGCTCTAGTGCTAGTTTTTTCAGCATCTGTGTTACCCCTTTGGTAACAGATATTACCCCCTGGCCAAGGATTGGGAGTGTGCCCAGGATATGTCACTTATGGTAGCTCTCCAGTTGGCGAGAAAGAAACTGAAACACAAAGACATTGAGCTATAGGGAAGAAGCATCCTAATGATATTTGGGTGCCTGGTTCTGGATGTGCCTAAGGCCAACTTTCCTACAGCTATGCTTATACATGAACTCACAAACTAACCTTTTTGCTTGATCAGGGTCTTTGTCACTTGCAACCAGAGTGTGAACTCAAACAGCATTTGTAATTCTTTAGTCTTAGGAAGAATCTGGTCTTCTTTAGAAGTTATTCAGAATATGAGCAAAACTGCTTATAGCTAGGCCCAGAGAACACATGTAAGACCATTTGTAGTTGTTACCAGTGGGTAGGAAAGTTGTGGGTAGAAGCCTTCTTTCTCTTACAATTTTGGTATAGGCTGCACAATTTCAGTAGAGTCTACACAATTTCAGTATAGTCTGGTATGTGTGTAACATATACCTGAAGTCTCCTGCTTTCATAATGTTGGATGAGTTTAAGTAAAATCACCCAAAGACACCCTTTACGGGCCACACAGCAAGTCCCATGAGAGTGATGTCTACATCGATCCAGGTAACTGATTGATAAGACAACTCCTTCCCTCAAAGACACAATCAAACACAAATATTTGGCTGTGAAAGTTAAATATGCTTGATTGTCATAGTTATAGTTACCTTAAATGGGATGCCACTCTGGATAGTTCACTTGGAAACGACCTCAGGTAACTATCCTGGCTCTTTAGTAGTGTGACCCACATTGGAACCATAGGAAATGCTTCTATTTTCCACTGAAATATGGGAGCCCAGGTGCCCGACCTGGTCATTTTATACATTTGGCTCATTCCTAGGAATTCCATCTCTTATCCTGTAAAATATTCAAGAGGAAGTCAGACACCAGCCCAGAAGCTCACATATAAATCCTGATGTTCCATTTGAAGACCCTCTCTCTTGATTTGCAAATAGGAGGAGCATGCCCCACTTTACTTTCTTGGAATTAAAGTGCCTAATAGCTCTTTTGAAATCTCCACAAATACTCCTTTAATCTCCAGTTTCCCAATGCTTGTATGTGCTCATTGTAAGATTTTAAGAATTGTCTAACTAGTTCTCAGCCAGATATTACAAAAAGTGCGCATAGTGGCCTCCCTTTGGAATATGGCATACAGGGTGTGTGTGTGTGCGCACGTGCATGTGTGTGCGTGAACATCTTGAATATTAGTATAACACCTCCATGACATGCCCATGGTAGATTTCCAAATATGTTTATTGAACCAATTTATTAGTTGAAAACACAAAGTGATAATAGGCCGGGCCTGAAGATTTCCCTCAGCTAAATAATTAGGTAAGACCTTTAGGGAAGAGGTAAGAAAAGAAGGGAAAAGAATGAGAGGTGGAATCTGGAGGTTGTAACAAAAGAATAAAACCTGTGATAATCACCTACATTTATTTAGCATTTTATAATTTATAAACTCTCTAATATGTTAGCTAGCTTATTTCATTCTCACAATAATCTGCTAGGGAGATTTTATCTCCATTAAAATGAACTTCATTAGTCTGAGAGAAATAATATCCAGCAATTCTTTAATCAAATTAGCCTTTCAGGGCTAATGTTGGATTTTGCCAAGGTAGTTAATGATGTGAATTAAATCCCCTGAATATAACTAGATTTGTTACTCTCTGGTAAGCTATAAAATTGAGTCCAAAATCTTTAAATGTATTGGAATAAGTCTTGAAATTTTGTTCTCCCTGTCCATACAGTTCTTGTGCACAACCTAGTTTATAAGGAAATAGGTAGTTGTCAAAGGAAAAAAGGATAATGGCATCTACCAGGCAAATGTTCCTTGCAATTACTGGGTTTGTTCAGATGGAAGGTCCTGTGGAAGCAACCATAATAGGTAAGAATGCTCAACCAACACTCACAGGAGGGGCTGATGGACATTGCATCATCTTTGTGTATGAACACCTTTCTGAAATTGGTTTTTGGTTGTTTTCGTTTGTTTGTTTTTGTTTTGTTTTGTTTGGGCATTAACTTTACCTATGTTCAAAGTCAGAGTTATGGCTCAGACTCATTCAGTTGAACCCCAGAGATAGAATTGATGTTGACAGCCTGAAAATAAATGTTATTGGTGACATGGAGAGAGTATCACTCATGGAGATCTAGTGCCATTCCTTTCACTAGGGAAGACAGGTCCATGGAAAGAAGAAAACTGTCACAGCACTGGAGCCTGTGGAGCTACTAGGGTGGGTGTAGGGGTGGGAAATTTTAAGGCTATCAAGACATATACCATATGAGAACATTTAATTGTTACCATCATATTCTTTGAATATGAGACCATCATTTTTTTTTATTATACCAAGAACATTTAGCGTGAGATTTGCCTTTTTAACAAATACAATATTATTAACAATAGGGTGCAATGTAATATAGCAGATTTTTAGAACTTATTTATCTTGTATAATGGAAACTTTTTACTCATTAAACAGCAGCTCCTAATTTCCCCAGTCTCTGGCAACCACCATTCTACTCTCTGTTCCTATGAGTTTGACTCTTTTAGATACCTCATATAAATGGAATCATGCTGTACATATCACTGGGGTAAAATAAGCAGATTTCACCTGGCCAATGCAGAATCAGGTTTTGTTCCCATGCTTCATCTGTGGCTTCCTGTCAAAGTCTCAGTTCACAGTAAGGCCAGCTGCTCCCCGCCTTGGGCCCGCGGACCCCCAAGACCTGTTCAGAAACTACTATAGTTTGGGATGGGGCTTGTAGCCTGCCACTGAAAGTCTCTTGGGATGCACAGGTTGTGTGCAGGCCACACAAGCTAAGTGCAGATTTTTTGCTGTTGAATTCACTGCCCAGGAAAGGCACAGGGTGGGGCTGGCTGCCTACTAATAGGCTTGCCACCGGTAATTTATGGGTTGGGTGGGTCAGGGTCTCAGGGAGACAAGGGGTAGAGCAAGCTGATCCCATCAGGCCAATGCAGATTCAGAAGCTGCCGTTGTTGAGCCCATGGGCTCCCTTAAAAGTCAGATAATAGTGAGGATATCTGCCATCTGTTTTGAGCCCACAGATCCCCGTGATGCACATGAGAGACACTGTAGTTTATGCTGGCACCAGTGGCCTGCTACCAAAAGTCTCCCCTAGTAATGGGCCGCTGCCAGTAATTTCTGGGTTGGGTGGGGCAGGGTCCCAGGGAGACATGAGGTGGAGTGGGCTCATCTCACCAGGCCAATGCAGCTTCAGAATTGACTGTGGGGAGGGGGGCGGGGGGGGAGCGCGGGGAGCGTGTGGGAGGGTTCAACACAGGCAAGCTGGTGCCCATCTACAGACTGACCTGGAGGGGGGCCTGACAAAGAAACAGTGGCGGCCGTCCCTCCAGCCCTTGCTCAGGTGCCACACAACTCAGTTTCTTTCTCCCCATATGTCTCTTGTGCCTCCTGAGCTGCTGAACTTCCTTCAGCACCCAGGGTGAGTGTGAGTGAGTGGGTCTGTACATGGGTGCTTTAAGGGGAATGTCTGGGTTTTCAGTTTCCTTCCATTTCACCCAGACAGCCAGAATCCCCACTGAGTTTTACAGATTTTGTGGGAACTCCTCTTCCCAGGACTGGAACTCTGGACTAGGGAGCCCCTATGTGGGGCTAGGTCCCCTTGTTCCTTCAGGGGGCCTCTGCAGCCACCCTCTCCCTCCTGGTGCTCCACTCCCACATGTCGGTACAGGACCATCCTGCTTCGCATCGCTTCCCCTCCTACCAGTCTCAATGTGACTTTATATCCTTAGATGCATGTGTTATGATAAGCTAGATTTCAGGTGGTTCTGCAAGTTGATTGTTTTATAATTTGGTTGTAATTTCAATATGGTCCTGGGAAGAGGTGAATCTGCTTTTACCTAGCCTTCCATCTTGACCCCTCTCCACAACAGCGAGAATTTAAAGCGCAGGAATTAATCTGCTTATTTATTGATTTATTTACTCATTTATTCATTTATTTATTGGTAGGAGTTTCAGGAGAGAGAGGGGAAAGAGAAGTATTGTGTAATTGATTTAAAGGCAGTCTTGAAATCTAGTATTCCTGAAATCTGATATTCAAGGAAATTGTAACCTACTTTATAGTCTGAATTCTCTTTGAAGATTTATCAACCATTTTGCTAAGAAATCAATTAGCATATGCTTGGGAAACTAGTTACTCAATAAATGTTTAGTAAAGGAGTGAATAAATTAAAGAGCAGATGAATTAATTAAATATTTGGCGGCACAGGATCATATTCATACAAAATTCAGTTTTTCCTTTTGAGTTTCTAACTCCAAATAATAACAGCAAATAAACATACAAATGGTAATAATTTAGGTTCTCTCTCTCTCTCTCTCCCTCTCCCATTACCTCCCTCCCTTTCCTTCTTCCTCTCATTCTTTTTTTTTTTCATCACATATTTACTGAACTTTTCATCAGTCAGGGTCCAATTAGGAGAGAGAAACTTCTTAGTTAGTCAAACAGGGAAAGTTTAACATAAATAATTATTA